TTACAGTGCATGTACGTGTGTGTTACAGTGCACGTACGTGTGTGTGTTACAGTACACATACATGTGAGTGTTACAGTGCACGTACATATGTGTTACAGTGCACGTACATATGTGTTACAGTGCACTCCAGGATGTGAACAAGATATCGTGGACAGAGAGGAACGATGGTTTGAGAGAGGAGTAAAGGAGGCCATCTTTGTGAAAAGAAACCGTCCATCATTAAACAGGGGTGGAGCCTCCGGGTTCAACTGTCCCCCTCTTACAATGCTGTGATTGCTAGTATCACTCAGCCCTCTGTGAACAGTAAACAGCCATCAGGTGCTAATGATCCATTGTTAGGCTGATGGTCCTTCTTGAGCATGTGATCAGCTGGTTCTGGTTGTCAGCAGCAAACTGGTTGATCCACTCTGAGAAGGTGCTATTTAAGAGACTGAGCTGAATACAGCACCTCAGACTGAGGAAGTCCTTCGGATGAGAGACGAAACATTTCTGCAATTTATTTGTTTTTGTTTTTTTTTATGTCCAGAGGACCAGATTTGACTTTTTTAGATCTGGGCTAGAGTTCATCTGCTGAATTCCAATCAGAAAGCTTCCTAAAGGCTGTGGATGGGTCGAGCGTTCCTTGTAAAACTTTGGTTTGAAGGAACATTTGTATCTCTTGGTTTTTGCTCATCAGACTGAAACTTTAATGAAGCTTTAGATCTTTCCAGAGATAGTTAGAAACTCCTTGTTCCTTTTAAGCAGATAAACAGCTGCTATTTCGTTGCCCTTTGGAGGCACTAACTCTTTTCATCACAACAAACTGGTGAGCAAAGCGCTTCTAATTAGAATCTGCTGAGAAGCCGACAAAACGACCTTTTTTCTGCTATAACTCAGCCTAGTTTGGTACGAGGTGTCCTTTACCTGTATGTTAGCTTTAATAGCAGCGCAGGCAGGAGGACATAAAGTATGTGTTTAATGTCAGACTGTTGGAAGTTACAGCCTCTACATGCAGCAGCAGAAATACTTCATAAAACAGAAGGATAGAGTGATGGAGGAGAGGCAGCGCTGACCTTTAGGAGGAGCTGAATAATGAACCAACGGCTGGAGGAGAAGCCATCCGGAGCGTTTCCTGTGTCTTCTCATGTGTGAGCACACAACCAGCCAACATTCTGCGGCAGAGCGTTTCTTTTTTTTTCCCCTTGTCCTGTCCGGCATTGAGACACTTAGAATTATTGTGTGAGTGTCAAAGTGATGCCCAACAGATTTACTTTCACAAGTGGAGCATCATGGCTGGCCTTAATGCTCCACTTGATACATAAATTAAATTTTATTAGAATTTGCTTTGGGCTTGTTTCAGATGTAATGGACATGGTGACGAAAAACAAAGAAGATGAAGAAGAAAAGTGAGAGAAGGGTTAAAAGGTAAAGAAGGAGAGAGGAATAGAGGAGAGAGAGAGAGAGAGAGAGAGAGAGAGAGAGAGAGAGAGAGAGAGAGAGAGAGAGAGAGAGAGAGAGAGAGAGAGAGAGAGAGAGAGAACACAAATCAACATCATTGAAGTCTGACTCTAGACCTGCGGAAAGAAAAAGACAAAACTGAGAAACCACAACAACAACAACTTATATAATGATACTTATAACATCATTAGAAAGTATTTTATATAGTACATGGTAATACAAGATATATTTAGTGGCCACCACAACCCAACTGAGTGTGTATCTGATAAACACCTGGATCTAAACACCTGTGTGAGCATGATGTCACTATAAGGTTTCTCCATAAAAATGTTCAATAGTGGATGTGGGGACCCACAGACCCGTCCCCACAGGACACAAAGGTAACACAGGGAAGACCGGAGCCACAGACACACAGCGGTCCTCAAGCCCGGAGCTCTGGGAGACCCCATCAAGGACATCCACACCCCCCGAGAGAGAGAAGCAAAGGGAAGCCCCGGGCGACCCCCAGCAACCACAGTGCAGAAACCCCAGGAGGCTGCGGCGACGAGTCCACAGTAGGGGTTGAACGAGTATATAATTTTTAAACTCGACATTAACATAATAAAACCCGAGTAGAACTCGAGTATTTGATGACGTCATAGATCTGAAGATACAAAAATAAATTAATTAATTAAACCGCAAAAAAAGGTCATAATTTACAAAAAAAAAAAGACCAACAAAACTTTGGGAGCGTATATTATGCTCCTACCATTTATCATACTGCAAATAAGTCACAGGAAAAACTAAACTATTAGTTTTTATTATTAAACTGCAAACGTGAAGAAACGTGCAGCACGTCAAAAATGAAACTTAACAGTGTGTGGGGGGGAGGGGGGGTCGACCACCCCGCACCACCGCCAGCTGTGGTGAGCATTAAGTTTAGTTTTAGAGATTAATATGTTTATAAATTTTTTTTTATAGGTTTAGAGATTGATCTTTTTTGCTTTTTGTTTGTGAAACAAGAGTAAACTGGTTCTGGTTCTGTGGATTGGACCCGGTGTTACACCACACTCTGTGACCTGCAATGTGTAGTTTATGTTAGATATGTGTAGTTTATGTTAGTTATGTGTAGTTTATTTTAGTTATGTATAATTTATGTTAGATATGTGT